GGTCGCCAAATTTTCAAACCTCACGGACCACTGGTGGTTGGCCACTGAGTTATTACATAAAGACACATGGCTTCCAATATAATCTATATGTTGACAATTATCAAATTTATAATCCAATATAGATTTCTCACTAGAGCACTAGTCTGATGAAACTATATACATGATATCTCCCTTTGGATCTTTAAAAAATACATTTTATTGATTTCAGAGAGGAAGGGAGAAAGAGAGAGAGAAACATCAATAATGAGAGGGAACATTGATTGGCTGCCTCATGCATGCCCCTGAGGATCCTGCAAGAAACCTGGGCATGTGCCCTGACCAGGAATTTAACCATGACCTCCTGGTTCATAGGCTGATGCTCAACCACTGAGCCACGCTGCCCAGGTGGTATACATGTTTTACTTCCTGACTACAGTTCACTGCTCAACTTTCCTATAAGAAAAGAAGTTGTTTCCTGATTTCCCTTGATTTTCTTCTTTATTCACTCCCTCCATTACACCATTTCCTTTTTTTTATACCACTTACAACTGTCTGATATATTACATATCATATTGCTATATGTTTATTTTCTGTCCCCCTCCTTAGCATGCAAATGTAATCAGACAAAAACAGGGGCTTTGTGTTTTTAGTTCAGTGTTATAGCCCCAAGTTTAGAATAGTACCTAACATATATGGTGCTTTAAAGATGTTTGTTGAAAAAATAAACATATTTTAATGAAGACCAAAATTTGTTTTGTTTCAGAAATTTCTAAAATCATTTTTAAACTAATTTTCTTTCAACTATACTTTGATGACCCTAAGGATTGTCAGTATTTATTTTGTTGACAGCAATTGTTTTTCCCTCTTTGTCTTACTTTCCATAATTAAGATTCTATATTTTCTTTTTGATGTACATTCTACAAGAAGGCAGCTATGTGGTTAATAGAGGTAAGAGAGAAATATTTTAGAGATATTCTTATCCCTTAACTCTTTCAAATTGAGAGACTACACTAATTTACATACTGTCTGAATATGAAAAGGCCTAGAGGTGGTAGGAAGATAATTAAAACCTAGATCTGACAGGCTTGTTGAAGAACAAAGCAATTCTTGTTAAATTACTATATCATTGTAGTCTGGAGGGGTTAGAGATCTTGATATGATTATTAATATACTCACATTTGATTTGTTTAAGCAATTACATTGTTTAATGGGTGAAAAGCAACATACTTGCTATGAAAAGTTCACCTAACAGCCTTCTGTATTTAATAGCCATACAATTGTCTGCAAGAAGAAAAATTAAGCCAAAACTGGTTTGGCTCAATGGATAGAGCATCGGCCTGTGGACTGAAAGGTCCAGGGTTTGATTCCCGGGCATGTACCTTGGTTGCAGTCACATCCCCAGTAGGGGGTGTGCAAGAGGCAGCTGATTGATGATTCTCTCTCATGGATGTTTCTATCTCTCTATCCCTCTCTCTTCCTCTCTGTAAAAAATCAATAAAATATATTTTTTTTTTAAAGAAGAAAGATTAAGGCAAGCATGTCTGAACTAATGTATGAAGAGAGTCTCACAAGAAACAATTATATACAAAGTAATAAACTCTCAATATCATTTAAACTTATGTGCAAATATCAAATATTCAAATTAATATTCATAAAAATCTATAGCCATTTTATTCCATTGAGTATTAATATGGTTATGGATGCTGTTCATCAATTGTGTTTTGTCTCTTATTTTCAATTCTTTTAAAAAAAATTCTGTTGGCATTATATATAAAAAGTATTTTAAGATGTGCATAAACCATTGGTTTGACAATCAGTATTCAAAGGATAATACTAATGTAAACAATTTTTCTGGGGAGCTAAAATATTTATATTCGTTTCCTGTTGGTATTAGAACAACGTTATTGCAACACTTTCATGGGCACAAATGCTAACTCGAAACATCTTTGCAAAGAAACTCACTATGAGGGCATTTAGATTGGTTTAACGTGAACATATTTGCAGCCATTTTCACATATGTAAAAAATAATTACCTAAGAATTATTTCAATGTTGATTATATATAGTACTTTTAATGAGATCAATTTAATGTCATTAAACTGGTATTAAAAAGCATGTTCTACTTTTCTAGCAGATAGAAGAAAAGACATTGGCGCATTCCTATGAGCTGAACTTAACAATTCTGTATTTTCCATTCTGATTTATCCCTAACTGTATAATGCTGATGTCTTTTCCTTGCAGTGTTTGCAGATTTCTTTTGAGCATCAGTTTCGCTCAGTAGTCAATTTATAATGAAGATTATGTAAAAGGTGACAGGTTAAAATCAGGCCAAATGTTAATGCCAGGTAAAAAGGCCAAACTAATAAAAGAATTACATCTGGGAGGAACTCTAGTGTGATTTACTTAGTAAACTATGATAAGGAGAAACCGCCCTAAAAGTAATGAATGTTTTCCTGAAAACATAAGGTGTTTTCTCCTCCTATTTGCATCCCATGGAAACAAGCTGACTTTCAATGAGAATGAATCACATTCCACTTTAGACTGATGAACAATACAATTCTTTATGCAGAACACAATCAAGCTGTGGAATTCAATTCTGCAATATATCATTGTGGTAAATAGTTTAGCAAAATCCAGGAAAGCATTAAATGTTGCTATGAATAAGAATGACATTTACAGCCATGCTAAGTAGGTCACAAGGTTTAAAGGGCTCTCTGCCCTCTAGCAATGGGGCACAGGAGAATTTGTTTGAAGGTCAGAAAGTAATGTTTCAAAGGAAAATAAACAAAATATTCTCCCACTGGAGGAGTGGAGAAATGGGAAAATTTGACAGATGTGGGAATTAGGAAAGGCAAAAATGGCTGAAACACAATATATTTTGGATGAAAAAATATTTCCTTCTGTAGCATAGCCACGTTCAGTCATCAGAGTGCTCAATGCTTACATTCACTCCTCCCGTGCACTAAGATATGTAAGAGAATGGTCTTAACATTATTTATAAAAACCCAATTATAGCTAACCCAAATTTCAAATCAGGAGTCATATGAGAAATAATAAATTGTATTTTGTTGCCAAGAAAAGTATACAGCAATGAAAATGGGTAAAGAGAGCTGCATGCAGTAACATAGACACATCTAAAAGATACAACATGGAAGCTAAAGATCCTATTAACCTAAAAACAAGACATTCAAACCTGGAACAAACTTTTGTGAGTTTATTTTAGCCAAACTGTTGACAATTGCCAGGAAGCAGTTAAACATATTAAAATAGTGCTCCAGAGAATGGTGTGGTTTTTTGTTGTTGTTGCTGGTTTTTTTGTTTCTTTGTTTGTTTTTAAAACAATACATTACCATCAAAGGAGGAAATTGAGAGGGCAGGGCGGGGCGAGGATGGGCTCCTGACTCTACTGTGAGGCAGGGCAGAGTTATCCTCCATTCTGTAATTGAACCCTAGCCCTCACCCAACCAATCAGGGTTAGCCAAGGCAGTGACATCACCACTGACCGGAGTAAAACCCCTGGACTAGGCGAAATTCGCTCTCTCTTCCGCCATGCTGCCAGCGTGAGTGGGACAGAGCCCATGCTAGCATGGAAAAGGCTCTTTTGTTTATTGCATCAGACCGGCTCCCTGGTGGTCCTTGGGGATCACAAAGTCTGGGCGTAACAAAAATGTTATTGGTAAGTGGATTACATGAAATCCTTTAGTGATAGACTAGGGAGGCAGGAGAAAGTAAAGTGTGTGTGTAGGAAAAACCTCTGGGATTGGATAAAAAAATAAAATGTTAGACACATACTTCTCTTGCACAGGTGGATGCAGGATAGTTAACAATTAACAATTAACATGATAACAATAATGAGGGAATTTGTTGTCTGTACCCAGCACCATTTGTTGTGCCCTGAGGGGCTCTGAAAAGGGGAAGTTACAAGTTACCTTGACATTCCACAGGTGTGCTACCCTTAGATGCAAAAAGACAATAGGCTCAGTAAAGGTCAAAGTTGATCTTTGTCAGGGACTATACTGGCCTAGGACAGGACTACCTACTACTGCTTTTTTTTGCTTTAGAAATCCTGCTTTTATTTCTATGACTCCTATCTTACGAACATAATATTTTTAAAAATTTCTTTATTGATTATTGTATCACATAATTGTATTTACTGTTTTTTTGTTTGTTTGTTTTTTTGCCATTCAGTGTATATCCTCAACTGTATTGTGCTTGGCCCAGCTCTATTACTGCTCAAGGCTCTGCCCCATAATCTAAGGGAAGAATGAAAACCATTCCTGATAGGTCATGGGCCCTGTCCATGGCAAGATGAAAAGTAGACCACAGAAGTCTATCTTTCTCCAAAACCGGTTTGGCTCAGTGGATAGAGCATCAGCCTGTGGACTAAAAGGTCCCAGGTTCGATTCCAGTCAAGGGCATGTACCTTGGTTGCAGGCACATCCCCAGTAGGGGTGTACAAGAGGCAACTGATCAATGTTTCTCTCTCATCAATGTTTCTAACTCTCTATCCCTCTCCATTCCTCTCTGTAAAAAATCAATTAAAATATATATATTTTTTTAAAAAGAAGTCTATCTTTCAATAGAGAAACAACACTTTCCCAGTGGGTGGGCCAGTGGGTGGGCGGGCAGGGGAGGGAATGCCTCACTGCAGGGCATTGTTCAATGATTTTGTTCCCCTAACTGCCCACAATGGGATGAGCCTCCTTTTGTTATTTTGCTTTGTTTCTGTCCAGGTGCTTGCTGTGTGTCAGCTCCTGAGCACAATGCAAAACAGACTGAGGCACTGCCCCCAAGATCACAGCATGGGAACAGGATAAACAAACCAACACTTTCCATGTGTGATTGGCACCAAGCAGTGGGTCTGAGGATGTGGAAGGGGGGCACAGAAAGGTTGCAGGAGGAGAGCCCTAAGAGGAGAGTGACTGTCCCTTAACCATAAACTCTTGCGGCAGAGCAAAAGGGACTATCAAAGACCCACACAGCACTAGGTACCAGGAAGTAACACATACTGGTGGGAAGACATGTCCCAAAGTGTCAGGGTTTGGAAGGGACATGGGTGGACTCTCCAAACATGGGGAAAAGCTTTTGCAGTTCCTCTCCCTGCACTATCAATTATTTACTGCTTTTTAATGAAAAAAGTTTAATGTCAGACCGTCCTTTGTGGTTACTTTAGGTCTTTTGAGTTTGCAAGACCGCCACGCAGGCCTTCTGTAAGTTAGTCCATGTCACCCCTTTTCATCCACAATCCCTTACAATAACATCTTTACAAAAAGAAAACACAACATTAAACTTAAGTATTTAAGAAAGCTTACTTATGTGACAAAACCATGTGGGAAAGTGAGCGGTTGATTACTATAAATGACAGGAGCATGGTTATTTTTATAAAGGAGCCACATGCTAACCTGATAAGCTCAGGGGAGGCCTGCATGGCAGTCCTGCAAACTCAGAGACCTAAAGTAACCACAAAAGATGGTTTGAAAATTAAATATTTAAACTACAAAGAGATTATAGTGGGTAGTCATGTCCTAGTTATTTTCCCTGACAAAGATCAACTTAGATCTTCTTTACTGAGCCCATTTGCCTTTTTGTCTTTAAGATAATAAATCTGTGAGATGTCTGGTTAACTTGTAACTTCCTTTTTTTTCCCTGGAGCCTCTGGGACACAACCAAATGTGGTGGGCACCAGGACAAATGCCTCAAATTCCTTCTTTATCATGTTAATTGTTCCTACACCCACCTAAGTATGTGTCCATCGTTTACTTTTTATCCAATTCCAGGGGTTTCCCACTGCTTTGCTTCCTTTCACCTCCTTAATTCATCACCAATAAATTTCATGTAACCCATTTATGTCCCTTCTTTGATTGCAATGTATAAATAGAAATGTAACCCGCCATTCTTCGGAGCATTATCTCAATTTATTGGCATATATTATGTCGACAATTTAGCTCAAATAAACTCATTAAAATTCTTTACAGGTTTCAATGTTTGTTTGTTTTTCGTTAACAGTTGTATCAAGGAGGTGACCAAAGAGAGACTCTTACAGTGCTGAAATGTTATATTGTTGTTCTACGTTAATATTTATATTCATCCCCCTCAGCCACACATTGTCATCTATCTCTGGGAAGCTGATACCTATAGACTTCATCACCTGGGCTACCTAGGCCTCTGGATTCTGGTTGGGTTTGGCTAGTGGAAGGCACCAGCCAGAAATTGCAGTGCAAGAAGAGAGAGATTTAGTTTTCCTCTCTTCATTCCTGTTCTTTTTCTACCTCACTCTCAACTAATACTGTTAACGAAAAAAACCATTGAAACCTGTAAAGAATTTTAGTGAGTTTATTTGAGCCAAACTGTCGGCATATGCCAGGAAGCAGAACCTCAATGGATTGAGATAATACTCCGAAGAATGGTGGGTTACATATCTATATTTATACATTGCAATCAAAGGAAAGGGATGTAGGTGAGTTACATGAAATTCATTGGTGATAGATTAGGGAGGTGGGACAAAGGGAAATGGGGAAACCTCTGGGATAGGGTAAAAGGTGAAATGATGGACATGAGCTTCTCTTACAGAGATGGATACAGGATACTCTAATGAAATTAACAGTTGACAACTAACTTGATAACAATAACAATGAGGGAATGTCTGGAGGCCATTTGTTGTGCCCTGAGGGGTCGGAGGTAAAAAGGAAGTTACAAGTTACCCAGACATCATATATTATCTTAGAGGCAGGAAGGCAGATGGGCTCAGTAAAGTAGAACTGAGTTGATCTTTGTCAGGTGAAATATCTGGGACATGACTACCCACTATAACCTGTTTGTAGTTAGATGTTTTTCAAACCACCTTTTGTGTTTATTTTAGGTCTCTGAGTTTGCAAGACTGCCATGCAGGCCTTCTCTGAGCTTGTCAGGTTAGCATGTGGCTCTTTTCTTTCCCATTACCTATGTTTTAATGGAGAATTCCTGATGACAAAATAACAGAAGTGAAAAATATGTAGGTTTGATTTAAAGATGGGTGTGCAAGAAATGCTGACAGCAGACATAACATAACCAGACAGTCAATGGGTCTGTGCTGCCTGTCACTACCGGAGCCAATTCAGTAGAGACAGGGTTGAATCATATGTGAGCATTTGCTGCCTGCAGTATGGGAGAGCAGCAGGTCATTCCCAAAAATGTCCTCTGCATCCCACCATAAGCCGGCTGCTTATATTCTGCAGAAGGACAAAGATTACATAGGGAAGTAGGCAAAAGGGTATGTCAAATGGGCAGTTTGCAGGTCTAGAGATTTGCAAAGGCCTACAGGAATGCAAAGGCTGGAGATCTTCAAGCTCTTGTGATATGCAAAGGGCTGGGGATCTTCAAAGGGCAGGGAGGGTCTTCAAAGGGCTGGAGGCTCTGGTTTCTGCAACAAAGTTGTTAATCTTTCCATGATAATAGACAACTCATGGATGGGGAAGACAGGCTGCATTTCCAGGTGAGCGCTTCCAGGTCCCATACAGCTCCCAGTCAGGTTAGAATGTGCCTTCTTCAATCAGAACAAAACACTCATGGTTAACAGAGTACTGTTAATATTTCTTACAATTCTATGTGGTCCTCAATATTCTATTTCTACCCCTATCGATAAGTAAAGATTGCTGTCGGTCTGTGAGAGTTATTCTACACTGTCAACCCCCCCCCCCCCCCCACATAAATATATTCTCTGTCCTTATCTGCACTAATTAATGGTCTGGTAGGCTGAGCTCTGCTGACTGAATTTTGTGAAAGAAAATTTTAGAGGTGAAATAAGCTGGTTTAGGACATTTTTAAAAAATAAGGGGTCCATGGAAAAAGCACAGTGCTACAGAGTTGCAAAGGGTACATTTCCATAAGACAAGGGAGATGGGAGTGGCAGAAGTTACATTTCCATAAGATAAGAGAACTGGGAGTAGCAAATGGCAAACATTTACAGAATAAAGGGAAGGAAACCCCTCATTCAGAGAGAGAGGAAGAAAGTCCAGAGGGAATAGGAGGACAATAAGGGAGAAGAAGGAGGGAACCTCATGTACCTCACTTGAGGCTGGAGCTCAGGAGTTGCTTAGTGACCAAATCAAAGGGGAATAATGACCTATCAGAGGGGATATTGAGGCACAAAAACTGCAGTCTTTGTAAACACCGGAAAGGGGGACTCTCTTTCCTCCTCCCCACGTGGTACTCTGTGCTTGTTTCTCAATAAGCTTCCGCCTTTGCTCTACCACCTTCCATCCATGGTTTCATTCTTTGAGTCCAACAGATAAAGAGCCTGGTATGCCACCCTGCCCAGGGGGACAACTTGTGTTTCCAGTCCAAATTCCCCGTTTCCCTTGCAGGCGCCCTTTCCAGCTGCATGTTGATTGGATTCAGGCCACAAGAGGCCCCATCTCAATCAGTGATCATAGAGTGGGACTAGAGAAATGCAGGGCATTTCTTTCCAATCCCAAACTCACAAGGACTACATTTCTAACTTCCTCCTCCACAAATATAGCTCCAGCTGAGTGCCTTCTCCTTGGCACTCGGTATTTTTGGGATCCAATAACAGAATTTGATCAGGGGGCGGGGCTAGCTGGCCAACTCCCCGAGGCCCCTCCCCCCAGCCAGCCTGGCCCAATCAGCCCAGATGGGGGCAGGCCACCTGGACCCCACCCATGCACAAATTTGTACACTAGGCCTCTAGCTTTATAATATTACAAACAAATGAGGAGATGTAGGTGGGTTACAGAAAATCCATTGGTGATTGATTAGGGAGGTGGAGAAAGCAAAGGTGGAGGGAGTAATAACCTCTGGGATTGGATAAAAAGTAAAATGTTAGTGCTTCTTTTAAGTAGATGGTTATAGGCTAATTAATAGTCAACACTTAACAAGATAATAATAACAATGAAGGAATTCATGGTCTCTGCCCTGGTGCATTGGTTGTGCCCTAGGGGGTCCACAAAAAGGGAAGTTACAAGTTACCCAGACATTCCAAATGTACTTTATCTAGATGCATAAAGACAATACATTCAGTTAAGATCAAATTTGATCTTTGTCAGGGAAGATACTGGCCTAGAACATGAGTATTCACTATAGACTGTTTTTTAACTTAAAATGTTTTTTAAATATGTTTTTATTGATTTCAGAGAGGAAGGGAGAGAGAGAGATAGAAACATCAGTGATGAGAGAGAATCATTGATCAGCTACCTCCTTCATGTCTCACACTGGAGATCATGCTGGCAACCCAGGCTTGTGCCCTGACCTGAAATCAAATTGTGACCTCCTGGTTCATAGGTCTAAGTTCAACCACTGAGCCATGCCAGCTGGGATAAAAAGTTTAATTTCAGATCAGCCTTTGTGGTTACTTTAGGCCTCTGAGTTTGCAAGGCCACCATGCAGGCCTTCCTTGAGCTTCTCAGGTTAGCACGTGGCCCATTTTTATCCATAGTTGCTAATTTGTGGGCACTGTCTCCATCCTTGCTTGCTACTTTAAATGTAGCCAGAATATGGAGGTTCTTCAAATAATTAAAAATGGAATTGCTTTATGATCTAGCAATTCTACTTCAGGGTATACACTGAGTGGCCAGATTATTATGCATTCAGAGATCATAATAATCTGGCCACTCAGTGTATGAATATGTGTGAATTCGTGCATGGGTGGGATCCAGGGGGAGGGGATATGGGCGGTTGGCCAGCCTTCCTGGGGATCGAACTCTGGTCAAGGGGACAATTTGCATATTAGCCTTTTATTATATAGAATATACACTGAGTGGCCAGATTATTATGCGTTCAGAGATAATAATAATCTGGCCACTCAGTGTTTATCCAAGGAAAACTGAAACAATATGTGCACCCTTGTGTTCATTACAGCGTTATTTATAATAGCCAAGATCTAAAAGTAATCCTAGTGCTGATCAATAGATGACTGGGTAAAAAAAAAAAAAAAAAAAAAAAAAAAAAAGATGGTGGTGCATATATATAATGGGAAATTACTGCCTATAAAGAAGAATGAAATCTTACCTTTTGCAATGGCATGGATGGACCTGGAGAGTATTATGCTAAGTGGAATGTCAGCCACAGAAAGATTAGTAGCATAAGATCTCACTTATATGTAGAACCTAAAGAACAATATAAATGAACAAACAAAACAGAAAC